GAAAAAGACTGAAGGGACACGATGGATAATCAGTTTAACATTAGCTTTAATGCCATACTGTGTCTGATGAACAATTACATGCTTAGATCTGTAAACAGAGTGTATCACTAGGACTAGGGAAGTTCTATGGCCTCTACATTTAGCATTGACGTGTCCGTTCATGAGTGATGATAGTGTTCCGATGTGTGTATCAGAGATACTTACCAGCGTAGGGATCATCACAAAGTCAAGTAAATGACATGAGAATTAGAAAATATATTTTGCAATGAAATGTTGAACAAGAGCGACCTGTGTAACTTGACAAAGAGAGACGGAGGGTTCTGTGACAATTTTGGGGACAATATATATTCAAATGTAGGAATTCTTCTTGGCACAGGCAGCTCCACACATGGGTGTGTGTATGTGACAGAGACTGCGAATTCTATTTCACATATGGAATGGGGTTGCCCCTCCACTTCCTTAGAAGGACATTTCAAAAGATGGCTATCCATAGAGAGTCATTAACCTCAACAATTCCATTCAAGTAGAAGACTTTTGAGAACACTGGATGGCTGAACCCCGAGGAAATGGTATCCTCCAACTTCTGTGGGATAGGCTGGACTTCAGTTTCCCCAGAAGCAGAAGAAAGAAACCACGTGTCGCTACTCTGTTCAAAAACAGCAACCGGTATAAGAAGCCCACAAATAAAGTTTAAACAAGAGAAGGAAAAGAGAGAGACCAGAATTTTTTTTTTTTTTTTTAAAAAGCATACCCACAGGAGGAAGGGATTATTTTTGCCTCCACAGGAGGAGAATAAGAAGATTAATTTCCTCTGCATTATTCAGAGAAAAGGCCATGTGCGCAAGTGATATTTTGCGTTCCTTAGTATAATTGAACTATAATCCTAGAGTTCCCACAAAGTTGAGACTCTGGCAGAGGACGTACACGAGCAATTGGCACGTGCTATGGAGACCAGAGTACTTGTGCATGTGATCATACTTTCACAGAGACGTAGCTGACTGAAACTCATCACTGAAACCTACGTCAGGAAATCGTGAGAAACGAGCATGTGCTGAAGCTCATCAGATTTAGGAAGCTTAGGACGTTGCAGTCTAACACAGCCAGCTCGAACACAGGGACGTAGAGAATGTGCAGTGGAGAGAAGCTTACCCTGCTGTGACAAGATGACTTCATCAGAGTCTGATGAACCAGAGTCTTCAACCCACACATAGACAGAACAAGAGTCAGCACGTGAAACTAAAAACTAAAGAAACTACACTGTAAGTAGGGCATGAAGTCTATTGCTAATGATATGTAGACACGCAAAAAGCTTACAGTAGTACAGACTCTGTAACGGTAAATCTGTGAATTCGGCGTGGATGCTTTTCTAAAGTGGACGATCCAGTTTCAACAACAGATCCTGGTTCCAATTCAATGAAGTCTTATGGCTGCAGTAGCCAGTGGTCAACCATTTCATTACAGTGTTCTCTGGTAGCTTTAAAATGTATAGGCTTTAACATAAAAGGAGTATTTATTTACTGTCTGCATAATGAATACTAAAGAGAGATGTGCTTCACCTGGTTAGAACACTGTCTAGCTCTGATCTGCTAATCCTAAGAACACTCACTAGAAGTAGACATTTATTAGTCATGATCCTTGAGCACATTTGTTTTCTCTTACAGCAGGTACCTTGATTAGTAAAGATCAAATTATTAAAAATGATCAAGAAAAAGACCTGCTGAGAAACATGAACAAGTAATTTTAAAATCATTTACTGAATATGCAACAGGCATCCACACTCCCTGGACGCCTACTGACTTTAACAGAAACCTTACATTTAAAGAAAATAATGTACTCACTTTTCCTTAGGCCTCCATTTTCCAAAATTACTAATAAGTTTGGGTACCTAACTGGGAAAGGGAATGATTTTCAGAAAATGCTGAGAATCTATTATTTGAAGCAGATCTCTTAGATACAGCAATTCTGAAAATTCAGACCTTGGTATTTTTAATACGCAGATTTCAGAGTTTATGCAAAAATAACTACAAAAGTTGTTGCTTTTTCCTGGATTGAAATGACCCAAGCAGTGTTTTATATCTTCCTGAAACCAAAACAAACACAATAATCTTCACACTAAACCTCTGTGAATCACCTGACTTGGCAGCTCTAGCTTGGATTTTTATAAGGCATCCATTCTCTGAGAGGCACAGAGAATTACTTGGAATGAAAACATTTATTTTCATTTGCATTAAGTAGAAACACCTTTCCCAAGATAGGGAAACCCTTTACTGACAGGTTCCAATAATGTAATTTTTAACTGCATAATATGGATCTGAAAAATCATCATGAATATATCCCAGCCTAAGAACTTCTTTGGCAGTTATTTAACCCTGATGAAAACTCGTTTTTCTAAACTTCTGCCTTCAGTAATAAACATTGATTCATTCAGAGTAATCCAGCCAGTAGTGATAAAGACCTGAACTAGCCCAGCTTCCAAGATTTGAAAGGTTTCATACAGGAAGTCTTTTACCATTTCCATTACCTGCCGGTGAAACTGTAAAAGGCGGGGAAAATTCAGATTAAAAAGATCCTGCCTTGCTGGAACACCTTTCCTTGGTACCCTTAGATAGAAAGCTGCCAAATTTGCTTAAAGAAATAAGTAAGAAAACCCAGGTGTTTCACACTGTTCCTCAGGAGACCAATTCCGGTCCTTGAGGAATTGCAAAGTACCGCTTCAGCGAGTAGTAACTGAACAGGGTTGACACATTCATCACTGCTGCAGTAGTAGGAGGGAGGTGTTTAATTTGAAAGATTAACAGTATCATTTTGCACCTTGCTCTCCACCCTTGGAGATGTGTAGTACGTAACAGTAGACATTCAGAAGGCCAAATAATAAAAAACTATAAAGCTTTTTATGGGCCATAAAGCAGCTCCCTCCTCTCCCAACACACTACTAAAGGAAAAAGGACTTCTCGCGGTGTATATCGTGTGGAGATGCTGAGCTCCTACTAGAAGAGATAAGGCTAAGTGGCAAAGGAGACTTCAAGGGAAGACTTAAAAGAACGCTGATTTTATTGCTATGTTAAATCAACTATACACATCTTTCTTTTTAAAATATTTACTGACTAATATATTTTGACAATGAACAAATGTTTTATTGTAAATCTAGTTGGAACAGTTTAAAGAGCTGCTGCCCAAAGCTGCGATGTGATTAACTGAGTCTGTGGGAACTCCTCATCCATTTGAGATAACTTCAACGACTTCAGCGGTGGTACAAATTAACCTATTTAATTTGCACTGAAACAGAACTGGAGTATTTGGAAAATGAATTCCCAGCAATCACCAACCAATATGCATGCATTTCTCCATGTCGGTGTACAGGAACACGCCTCCCTCCATTCTTTTAAAAGCATTTTAATGGTAACACACATGAACGCTCTTGTTGGAATTTGAAGTGATCTTGACAAATCGAAGAAATGGGAAAAAGAAACAACAAAAATGAAAGTTCTACCCTATTAAGAGAGATGTCAAATACAGAAGAAACAATATTGGCTCGGAAGCAAAATGGCACAGAGGAACTTGGGGTGAGGAAAAGATCTAGCAGGTCACAAAATTAAATAATCAGTCGCTAGTGTAATGTAAATTTTAAAAAAAAAAGCAAGCAGGTTTCATTGTCAGATGTATGAACAGCAATGCCATAAATAAGATGCAGGAGGTGATCACTCAGTTCATTTGGTACAGGTGAAGCTTCAGCTGGACAACTATTTCCAGCTTTAGGGACCACCCTTCAAAAAAAGAGAAAGACAATCTGGAGTGTGTCCCAGGGAGACAATAAAGAAGCTGACATGATCCAGGAGGAGAAACTGGAAGAATGGGTTAGTTTAGTATAGGGAAGAAAGAGGTTGTTTTGCTTTGTTTGCTTTTATTATAAAAAAGAGGGGAGGGACACAACACCTGATGTACCTGATTACTATAAAGGGAACAGTGACAAATTATTCTTCATGACAACCTGAAGAGCAGTAAGCAAGGAGCAGCCTAATTCACATCAAAGAAAATCTAAGTTGGATTTTAGGAAAGCCCTTTCTAACCCTACTGAACTCCTTTGGAGGTTTTTAAACACAATTGTTGGCAGGGAGCTAGGTATAACTAATGCTATATCAGTGCAATGGTTTACACCTGAGCTCTTGAATCCCTTCCAGTCCTACTTCTGTATTATTCTGACACCCAATGCCCTGGCTTGCAAGTGCTCCATTAAAATTAAAAGTAAAAAAATTACTATCTCTAGGAAAGCAAGTAAGAAAGATCCTAATTTCGGGGCACAGGAGCAAAAAAATGAGTGATTTGAAGAGAGCAGAATCATAGAATCATAGAATCAT